AAACAATATTTGCAGTGCAGGGAGGGGTTTGCCAAAATCCCAAGGCCCATGAGAACTCAGAGGAGCTCAACCTGGGGAAGGAAGTTTTCACCTTGGTTGGCAGTAGTGTGGATGAAGTTTGCCTGGGTACAAGGAAGAGGAACAATTATGGATCAATCCTGTGGGCAAAGGGCATGGCATGACACCACGGGTGCAGTCACAGTTGTAGAACCCTGTAGGTCTGAGCTGGGACTGGAAGGGCATTTGGGAAAGGAGTGAAAAAAAAGCTGGAATAACACAGCACTGAAAATTCAAACCTGGATAAGTTTACCTGATTAATGACCAATTAATGTCAACTCCTGATTAGAGTTTCTGGAAAAGAGGAAATATAAAAGTTCGTGCACAGACTGTCAGACACTTGTGCAAATGCTCTGGCTCCTCTCAGCTTCCCTTATTTTCAACAGTGTCCCCTGCCCCAGTGGCTGTCCCTGTCATTGAATCATTCAGGTTCGAAAAGCCCTTTAAGACCATCAGGTCCAACTGTCAACCCAGCACAACCATGGCCATTAAACCACACCCCAAAGTGCCACATTAACATGTTTTTTTAACACCAGGGATGGTGATAACAACTCTCCTAGCACATACATACATTGCAAACAAAACCCTTTTATTTATTTCCCCCTCTTCTTCCAGCTTACTGAAAGATATGGGGACATCTTCAGCATGCATGTGGGCAGCACATGGTTTGTGTTTGTAAATGGGCTGCGGATGGTAAAGGAAGTTCTTGTAAACCAAGGGGAAAACTTCATGGATCGCCCTGAAGTTCCTGGCATTGAGGAGACCTTTGGCACCAAGGGTGAGTTATTGATCAGGACTTGTTACCTGAGCTGTAAGGTCAGAGCATTGACCATGCAGACGTCCAAGGTGGCTGGAGATAATGCAGAGTCAGAGCATTTTTCCTTTTGGAGGAGGGATTTGCCTTGGCTCACTGCAGTGTGTTCCTGCCAGGACTGATCTTCTCCAGTGGGCACCTGTGGAAGCAGCAGAGGAGGTTCACCTTGACCACCCTCCGAAACTTTGGCTTGGGGAAGAGGGGCCTGGAGGAGCGCATCCAGGAGGAGTGCCGATACCTCGTGGATGAGTTTAGGAATGAACAGGGTGAGTGCCACAGCCCTCATAAGCTGCGATTGATGTGGGAACCAATATAGCCCATTATAATTTCACCCACGATTCCCTGCATGCTGAAAGATACGTCATCTTGCAAGCAATGCTAGCACCCTGCCAGCACCTCAGCCTCCTTTTGCAGCTGTTTTGTCTGGTAAGTGCAGTCAGGTAACACCCAAAGTGTTATTCTTAGCCCACCTTCAGCCCACTCTCACCTGGACATCTCTGGAAAATCCCAACGTGTGTGTTTGGTCACTGATGTTTCCAATGAATTCAAATGACGTCCACCCTCCCACCCTTGCTTTCCAAAGTAAACAAACATCTCCATAGTCTGACACAACTGCAACCAAGGGTGAGATGTTTGCTCCACACTGGGACCAATGGTTGGATGCTTGCTCCACACTGGCACTGCCCAGCCAAGCTTGGCCAGTTCGAGGGACAGCGTGGTGTCCCAGGAGAGCAGGGATGCAGAAGCATTCCCATCAGGAGCCACTCGTTTAATTCATAGTTGTTCAATATTGTACGTGTGACAACTGTGTTTTCTTCTCCTATTCTGTGAAGGCTGGAAGAGAATTGGTAATTCCCTTTTACTTCTCCAGGGAATCCTTTCAACCCACACTTTAAAATCAGTAATGCCATTTCAAACATCATCTGCTCCATCATCTTTGGCAATCGGTTTGACTACAATGATGAGGAATTCCAAAAATTGCTGCAGCTCCTGGAGAAGATGGTCAGACTCCATGCGAACGTCATGACCCAGGTATAACCATCCTGACACCGACAGGCAGTTTGTAACTTTTTACAGTGTCGTCACTGGAGTCAACCTCAAAACGCCCTGTCATTCCTTGCTCCCTTCTTTTCAAGTCATGCAATGCTTATGGTGCTCGCTTTCTCCACCCACAGCACCTTTCCTGCCCATTCACTGCAAAACTGCCGGCTGTAACACCGAGTAATGCATGAGTCACTCTGTGGTAGAAATACCAATCCCATGTAATGCTCTGCTGGAGCAGAGCTATTTCCACCAGCGCCAGCAATTTTGCAAACATGGAATTGCAGGCTTCACAGGTTTGGATAAAGGAAACGTTATTTTTCAGACACTTACTCAACTTTGCCTTCTGCTTTTGTCTCCAAAGCTCTACGGCTCTTTCCCGACGATAATGAAGTTCATCCCTGGACCCCACCAAACCCTTTTTCAAACCTGGAGGTCATTGAGAAGCTTTGTGAAAGAGAAAATTGACAAACACAAGGAGGACTGGAATCCCTCGGAGAGCCGGGACTTCATTGACAGCTACCTGCAGGAGATAGCCAAGGTCAGTAACGTGGAACAAACTTCCCCAGTGCCATGGCACTGGGAAACACAATGAGGCTTAGAAATCAAGAGGGATGAGAAACGACCCCAAATTCTCCATCTGAGCTACCTCTGTGGCCATTTATGAGCTTAGGATGGACATTGGGCTCAGGGCACGCACCAAGAGGATGGAGGTTAAGGGGGCCAGTAGATTCTGCCAGAATCCTTGGGATTGACTTGGACTAAGGTTTTTAGGTGCGGCACTAACACACCTTTTTGTCAAGGACAATGGCGGCAGCATCTTCCAGGAGGGAAACCCTGTGGCATGTGCACACCGAGGAAAACCTTGTGGCATGTGCACTCGACCTGATGTTTGCTGGGACTGATACCACGTCCACAACCATCCGCTGGGCTCTGCTCTTTATGGCCTTACATCCAGACATTCAAGGTACAGTTAGCAACAGGTCAGCACTTTTTCTTGCTTTTAGCGCTCACTCCCTTTTTTATTGAGAGAAAAATTGGGACTCTCTCTGCACTCACACAAAAGAGGTGCAAACAGTGGCAGGTGTCCCAGGTCATTCACTCTCTTGAGGGACACTCACAGCAACCACTCTATGTTGGTCCGAGGGTTATTTTCTTGGATCTTGACTGATCCCTGCTCTTTCTCCCCAGCCCGCGTGCAAGCTGAGATTGACGCAGTCATCGGGCAGGGCCGGCAGCCAACCCTGCAGGACAGGGACAACATGCCCTACACCAACGCCGTCGTCCACGAAGTGCAGAGGAAAGGCAATATCATTGTTTTCAATGTGCCGAGACTGACAATGAAGGACACGGTCTTGGATGGCTTCTACATACCAAAGGTAACCCTGCTTCTGAGTGCTGAGACTTCAGCAAGAGTCTCAGTGCGCCATGCAGGATTTGACAGGCCAGGTGCCTACTGTGTAGATAGGAGGCGTAGGACCACAGTGTCTCTGCCCAGTCCAGAGCTCACTTCTATTTTTGCCATCCAAACAATATTCTCCAGCACATTGAATGGTGCAGAGCGCTGCAGGTTGAAACACCCTCACGTGAACACCCTTGAAGCCACGGATCTTACATCACACAGCTTTAACAGGAACTTTGGCCCCAGATTACAGCAGACATAAATGATGCTGATGAGGGAAAAAGATGGATCTATAATCATTGCACTTCCAAACAAACAAGAAATAGATAAAACTGGCCACGCAAGGAGGGTGTTGGTCAAATAATTGCAGCAGAATTTGACTATGGATGTTCTTCATTGAGACGAGACTGGAAGATAAAAATGCCTCTCCTGTTGTCAGTGACAGAGAAAGCGAAATTTATTGTTCTTTTTCTCCTCTTAGGGCACTGTTATGATGGCAAATATAAGTTCTGTGCTGATGGACAAGACCGAGTGGGAAACACCTGACACTTTTAACCCTGGGCATTTCCTGAAGGACGGTCAGTTCTGGAAAAGAGAGACCTTTGTGCCATTTTCTTTAGGTAAGATTTGCTGCATTTTGGTGCTTCTGTGCTGAGGCACTGGGATGGGGCTTCCAACTTCCAGTGCATATCCATACGGTTACACACATGTGGCTTCACAAATTCACACAATTCATGGGGCAGCCCATGCTTTAATGCTAGTGTTATTGGAGAGTGCAATTCGTGCTGCAAAACTCATCCTGGGAAGGGCGTAAGACAGCTGGGACATAGTTCTAAGGGAAGACAGAGGTGTTTTTCTCAGAGCAAGCAGCTGGGCAAGCAGCACAGGCTGAGGATGCCATGGGTGACTGTCTCCACAGGGAAGCGCGCCTGCCTGGGTGAGTTGCTGGCCCGCTCCGAGCTCTTCCTCTTCTTCACGTCCCTGCTCCAGAAATTCACCTTCCAGCCACCCCTGGACACCAAGCTCAGCCTCAAGGTCAAGATGGGTGGTGTTAGGCATCACGATGTCCCCACAGCCCTATAAAATCTG